GGGGTCTTCCCTGGTTTGTCTGGGGAGGTGGTGGCTTCCTTCCTGTTTGCAGAGCTTGGGGCAAGGATTACCCATTCAGCCTCGAGAGAAAAGAAGCATGCACTTTCTCGCTTTGAAAGCTTCGGACAAATGGGAAAATGTTAGGAATAAGTGCACACTTCTTTTCTCTTGAGGCTGAATGGGGAATCCTTCCCGCCAACCTCTATAAACAGGAAAAAAGCCACCACTCTAGACAAGCCGGTGAAGACCCAGGAAGGCTGGGCCAGACCCCCATTTTGCCGGGCACTGCCATCTCCGTCAGGCTGTCTGCCTGAGCCCCGCCATCCCGCCGCCTTCCCGCCGCCTTTTCTCACACCAACACACTGGGTCAGAGAGGAGTAGAGGGGTGGGCGAGCTGTGGGGATGGCGGGTGGGGGCAGGGACTCCCTGTTCCTCTTTCCTCCCAGGCCATGTTAGGGCTCCGGCTCCAAAGGCTGCGGTGCCCCTGCTGAGGAGAGCGGCCTGAAGGTGCTTGGGGGGAGGTGGCAGTTGCTGTTGGCTCTGAGCTAATGCAGAACCCCGAGGCGGCTGCAGGGGGACCCTCTCTCATTCCCCATCCCCAGACTTGGCAAAGGAGGCAGGCAGGCGGACAAGGCAGGCAGATGCTGTGCAGGGGGCGGCGGGGAAGCCAGTATTGGGAGGAGCAGATTGGCCACCACCAGGCTCGGGAGAGGGTTTCTCTCCCTCGGAGGTTGCAGGTGTCAGGCTGGGGGAGAAACAGCTCCCGTCTCCATGTAGAGAGGAGGAGAGGTGAGAAGCAGCAGCGGCAGCGGTACAAAGTTGCCACTCTAGGAAGGGGTGGGGAGGGCAGGAGGGAAGTGAGTCTCCTAAGGTGTCAACCTCCCCCCTTTTCTTGCCTGCATCCAGGTAAGGTTAAAAGAGCCACGGCATCACCTGGAGCTTTTCATCAGCCGCAGGTTTGAGCTCTGTCAATTCTGTTCCCCCCCCTGATCAGAAAGGATGCTCCGACATTCTTCCCCTCCCCCCACTTCCCCCCTCCCATTAATCACTTCCCCTGTCTTTGTCCGACCCAGCACTCCCCACCAAGCCACGTCCACCAAGCCACACCCACAGAACCGGTGGCAAAAAAAATTAGATTTCACCACTGGATCTCCCTAAATCTTTTGGATTTATGCTTGATTTTATGACAAAAAAATGTATATTTATTGAAATATTTTTAAAAAATCAGAAGCAGAATTCAGTGGGCTGAAGTCTTCCCTTCTCTTTCTGGTTCCACCCTCTTAGGTGTGGGTGGGGGAGGGGTGAACTGTTAGTTAGCTGCTGTTAGTTTTAGCAAGTTTGTTTGGCAAGTTTGTTTGGAGAAACTCCTTGTGATTTCTGCCTAAGATAGCAAGATTGTTGGAAAAATACGACTATGAATTGAAGAAGAGAAGTTGTAGGCAGTCTTGCACTATTCTTGGCAGCTACTCAGATGTGAGCCATCTTGCATTTTTCATTTTAATTAGTCCTTGAGAAGTTAAATGTTTCCTTTTGACATAGTGTAGTTGTTATTTTTATTATAAATAAATAGCTTGTTAATTCAAACTTAAATGCAGTTGTTGGAAATTTCATTTTTTTCTTTGAAATAACTTTCTTTTCATTATAGCTAATATAATTTCCATAGAATTCATTTTGCGCTGCTGTTTTTAACTTTTTAGATTGTGTACGTGTGAGTTTTGTAGTGAGTTCTGACTCGGTAAATGCCTGGAAATGTTCATGTAGTTCTTGGTGGTTTAAAAACATTTTGGAAGTCATCTTAGGACAACATTTGCTGTGAATTGTAATATATTAAATTCTATTAAGTGTTGACATTTCATACCAGTTTAATATTGTAATCCCGTTCAGGAATAAGCAGGGAGGATTTATCCTCAACAAATGTGCAAGTTTTAGTCACAGTATAAACTGTTAACTTTCTTTGAAGATGTGCAATTTCACACTTCTTTTGACACTGTTAAAAGGACGCCCTCTGTGTTGTGTCTAAAGGAATTCATATTGTTTCTATGTGTGATTTAGGACCTTGGGTTACAAAGCAATTTTTTTTAATCATTTATTCTGAAATCTCAGTGTTGCCTAACTTTTCTGGGGAGAAATGCTACCTTCACCACGGTCTGTATGATAATATATGTTGTTGGTATGCAAGAGTTGTTTACGAGGCTATACAAGCAGCTCTCATGTGCTTGGAGTGCATGAAGTAGTTTTGCTAATCTGTCAGTCTAGTATGTGCTTGTGGATAAATATAGACTGGCAGCTACTCTGCAAGTTGTAGATCATCATCATACACTGAGGCTAAAAATTACCTCTTTGGTTATGGAAAATGTGTTCTGATCAGGAAGCTGCAGGTTGTCGTCATTTAAAACCCCAAAGTTCTAGCTTTGAATCTGAAGTTAATAAAAACTTCTGTAACAAAATGACCAAGCCAGGGACATGAAGCAAGTCATTTTTTTCTCTCAGCTATAGAAACAAATAAATTTTATGATCGAGAAATTTTTTGACATTGTCATCCACATGGAGATTTCACTGGCCTGCTGGCGGCGATCCAGTGTGATCAGCTTAATAAAAGGACTTGGTAGGTAAAAAAGAAAGACAAAAAGCCTTTCCATAAGTTTGAATTTTAAATTGACTTGTTAAGAGTTTTGTGTATTTAAAAACCAAATATATATAGATTTATAGATATAGATATGGGCAAATAACAAAAAAATACTGCCTCCTTTTGATAAACTTATTGAGGTTTTGCTTGATATATCTTTCTTCATTGATTTTGCTTTATAATCAAAGGGATATCTTTGGTTTTATTGTGTATTTGAAAAACTACGGAAAGGGCATCATTTTTTATCTTGAATTCTTCTGATGTGTATAGTGTACTACTATCCTATCTGCCGTATTTAGTTCTAATTTTCATAAAGGACACAGCACTATAATATAGGAAGAAAATTTAGTAATAAAGGGTTGAGAATGGAAAAGAATTATCAGCCAGTAAACTTACTTATTTAGATATTTATTTTTGGCCAGGGGAAAAATAGTTAATTGATGCATAACCATAGGAATAGGATATTTATGTTTCATTTTTGTTAATTTTATATTTCATATTTTGTAACTTATTTTAATTATAAAATTAGAATTGTAACAATGGTAATTAAATTGTAACTGTAGTTTAAGTAAAGTGAAAGTACATGGTGTACTAATACTTGTTGTCATTGTGGTGTACCTTGAGTGAAAAAACAGTTGAGTTTAAGAAATTTTATTGAATGCAAATAAAATTAAATGATTAGGGGTAATCTACAGCCTAAAAATCTCAGAATCATGTATGTGTTTTATTAATTCCCAGAGAACTTTCAGCAACAGATGGATTGTTTTGATTGTTTGGAAATTGTCTATAGTATTTAAGATTTTTGACATGGGGAGATTAAAACAAGACTATAAATCCACAGGACCAACAATTCCTTAAGTAGTTACTATAAGAACAAAAATATGAATTACCAATTAAGTTTTCTTTATATTTAACCTTAATCTGCCCTCTCATTGTCCATGGACACTGTGTTACTTTCAAGAGTAACGGTTGTTGATAATGCTGTTATATCTGACTCACTTGTCACATATATAAGATGAAGATGCTATGTTAGAATAGTCTGCATTGGCAAGATATTTTCACAATTAAAGCAGTATTTAGATTATTGATGATCTGTATTCAGTAAATGGTGGCTTATTATGATGATCTCAAATGAGTGGAGAAATAAACCAGGAAAACTATACATGTATTTGGAATAATGTTAGTTAAAAAATAGGAAGGGTTACCGAAAAAGTCTCTTATATGATAAAGCTTGAATTGTATGCAGTAATGCTTGGTATGGAAAAATAACTTTTTTTGTTATGTAAACAACAGAAAAGTAACCAAAACATTAATTTGTGTGGTGTCCTCTTATATTAACTTGATTTATTCCAAATAGAAAAAAATGAGAATTGTCAATCTGCTTTTGATTAATATTGACTACCATGCAAAATCAGAGTTCAATGTAGTAACTATATTTCACTTCTGGGGATTAGTGTGAAACATGTGTATCAGCTTAAAGAAATATTGCCTGTTTAGACCGCATCCCAGATGGACCGTCCAACTTTAAATGCAACTTTCAGATATGATCAGTAGCTGTCTGATTTATTCATTAGTATTTAGTATTCCCATCAGTATTCATCGTTCTTGGCAAACATTCAATCTGGCACAATACTTTATTTCGCCTTTTAAAATCCTGTTTTCTCTGGGTTCATAGTATGATTTCTTATTCTTTTTTGCTCATTCTGCACTGTTACATTCCTATTTGTTGTAACTAGAGTTATTTCCTGCCAAACCTTACACATTTTTGGAAGCAGCTCCCCTTGAGTTATGTGGAACTCATTACACCCACTAATTAAGAAAGCTTCTTATAAAATCTTTTCCAAAGATGTAACTGCACATAACCACAATGACACCATTATATGATGGCCTCATTATTCCTTAATGAAATATTAGGAAAGTACAGTAGAAGAGAGACTGTTGTTCAGAAAAGATTGTACAGAGAAATCTACCTCCCCTTGTCTGGGATTCTTCCTGCAATATAATTAACTTATTTCTGTGTATTTGTGTGATGTGTGAGTATTATGCTCTTGTGATTATACACACAGACACATAGGAAAGGAACTGGCTATGATACTTTAATTGAGTAAGACAGTTTGAGACTCTGTGTGCTTTTATCTTCTTTGTGTTCTGCATTTTAGAAGATAGTGTCACTGCCTAATATTTAATTTTAACAACTCTACAATGTCTTTACATATTCACATTAAAAATAATATTAGACTTTAATCCATTCAACATCTTAACAATCTACACTTTGCAAGCTGCTTAATAAGATTATATAGTCTATATTGGAATAAAATCACTTTGTAATCTAAATTATGTTTTATTAAATATATATTGCATTTTTAATTTTCAGCATCTCCAGTGGGTAACGGATACATTAAACCACCAGTCCCTTCTGTTTCTGGCACACAAAAGGAAAAGGGACCTCCAACCATGCTACCTATCAATGTTGATCCAGATAGTAAGCCTGGAGAATATGTCTTGAAAAGTTTATTTGTTAACTTTACTACCCTGGCTGAACGCAAGATCCGCATCATCATGGCAGAACCTCTGGTAAGTGAAAGAAAAATCAACATTTCAGTATAGAATGAACTAAAACTAATTTGCAATCAATTTGCTAGTATCTCTTGAACCAATGGAATATGACTGTTTTACTCTTTGGGGGAATTAAGGACCAGTAAAATAGCAACTCCACTAAGATAAGAAATATGTATGAAATGTATTTACCCACCTCGGTGGATAAGGGGAATATAACTCTAATACAGGGGTGTCAAACTGGATTCTTTCCAGGGCCGGATCAGCATTCTAGTTCTCTGTGAGCCAGCGGGGGTGGGGGGACACAGGACAGACGTCTCATCTGCAGTACCTCTGGCAGCCAAAATGGAGCATGAGCCCCCCCCCAAACACCATGTTTTTAGCCTGAATGGCTGCCTGCAGCACCTTGCCAACCAAAACGATGTGCAGGGGGCCTCACACACACCCATATGTCCCATTTCAGCTGCCAGAGGCACCATGGGCTGGTCCTTTGCAATTTCCAGTCCCACTCTGTGGGCCAGATTTAAGCACCCCATGGGCATATCTGGCCCACGTGCCTTGAGTTTGACACCCCTGCTCTAATACATTGACAAAAATGATTAGCAAGATTTAACAACCCAGGCATTTGGGTCATTGCATCAGACTGGGTTCAGGTATTCTTTTGAATGCCACGTTTGCCTATAATATATTTAGCACCATCTATGGTCAGTTGTAGATAACAGGACAAACCTGACATGTATCACCAAGAGCTGCTTGACAAAGCGGGAAAGAGGTGTATGCCTGTAACTGAAATCTCTTTGACCAGGTTTCGTGTGCTCTGTCAGCTCTTAGGGCAAGGGGAGAGTAGTGACAGTAATATATTGGCACACTATTGGTGTTACGAGAAACATTGCTTCACTAATTTGACTAATATTTGTGAGGTTAGCTTTTGGGTGAAGTAGAGGGTATTGCTATTTTACCATTCTTTTATCATCAAGCCTCTTTATGTCATTACTACCATGGATGTTAATTCACCCAGGCTGCTGACTTGGAGAAATTTCTGCTTCCTCTTTCTGGGTTCAAAATTTTCTGGCTGCCATGATAACAATGGTCTTGGATATCACTAGCCTGATTTATATATGGTACCTGGCTTTTATCTTGAAACATAGAAAATATTACTTGGTTCTTATTGACTTTTTCACAAATCCCTTGTTGTAGACAGACCACTTTCTTATAGTGATGAATCTAACTGAAGCCAGCAAAGTCTGTAGTGTTACAGTGGCTCTTAATGTGTCATTGGGTTTCCAGATGACACCATGTTTTCCCAGTTATCTTGTGGACAAATCTGTAAAAGGCCTTGTTAGACAACCAAGGTTCTCAATATGGTTGCTCTTATTGAATGACCTTTTCCTGATTGCTGATCATGTGGAAATTATTGATTCGTTGAGGAGCTTCAGGAAATGAAATATATGAAATAACATTGGTAGAAAACAAAAAGTCAGAGTGACCAGGTTCAGGTATGAGATTTAATTCAAGCCTATTCCATGACAATACGGTAGCAAAGCAGAATTATATTTTCCAAAGAATATCTAGTTTATAACTGTGCTTGTGAGATACTTTTAAAATAACACTTAAAAAATAATGGAAGAATCTATGCTGTATTCATCCTCCTGAAAAAAAAAATCAATGAGTTTTGATCAGCATTTTCATGGTCAATGACTTTTTCATTGTGCCATGGTGTCCCTTTGACTATATAGAATATCAACATCTATTAATCTATTAGAAAGAAATGAATAATTTTGTAATAATTTGGAGGCACCCTATCTGATATAGTACAAGCTCTAACATGATTGTGAGCCTTTAGGCACTTTTCATATACTATATTCTATGTGAAAGGCGACTGTTTTACTGAGGACTTTATGCCTATAGGGAGCAAAATGCTTCTCATTGCTGAAGATTTTAAAATGTATTTCTTTCAGAATAGTTCAAGGCTCCTCAACTACTAATAAACTTGTATTTTTCCATAGAGAATAGAATCAAAATGAAAAATGGAGAATATTTTAAAACCATAGATATACACAAAAAATGCTCCATCACTAAAGTCAATTCAACTTTTCTATATTTGAATTAGGCCCACATCACTAGAACAAGATGAGTAGCTTGTTTGACCTTTACAAACATACTATTGTCTTAATAGATGCATTGAATGAAAACCAGTGAAATGTTAAATTTCTATTTATTTCAAATGAAAAGAATATACTTACATATACTTATCACTAAATATTTGATTTTGGGAGAATTAAATAATGAGATTAGGATTTGGGTTGTTGGTCAGAGTGTAAGCAAAAATATTATTCTTTAGAAGTACTTGATGATAACATTAAAATGTAGGTGTGTGAGAGAGACATAAATATTTAGTAAATTCTTGCTTGAATAAACCTCAATTCTTGGTGAGCAAATTGACAAATCCATGTAATTTTCTTTGTGATAGTACAAACCTATTTTGCCCACTGCTTTTGTTTAAGATGTTTTTTTTTCAGTTTTCAATCAGATCTATTGGTCTAGTTCTCCTGATGGTATAGAATTTCCTGCTTGAGCAGGAATTTGGACTAGAAGACCTTCAAGACCTACCAACTCTGTCATTCTTTTCTGTTATCCTTCCAAACACTAAGCAGTCTGACATTTTGAGAATAGTCAGAGCAAACTAGCTGAGACAGAAATACTTAGATTTTTCTATTTAATATCTGATTCTTTATATAACAGTTGTATTGTCTTATAAAATATTTATTCATGATGCCATTTTCCATGAACTGCTACAGGTGTATCACTGCAAACATTGTGAAGGGAAAGTTAATTCCTTGAGCACCTTTATTTCAACAAAGGAATAATGCATGGAGGGTTGAAAATTGAAATAATAGCACTTAGCACTCCGATTTATATACTGCTTTATAGTGCTTTACAGCACTCTATAAGCAATTTACAAATTGCCCCTTCTCCCAACAATCTGGATCCTAATTTTATCCATCTCAGAAGGATGGAAGACTGAGTCAACCTTGAGCCAGTCTGGATCGAACTCCAGGCAGTGAGCAGAATTAGCCAGCAATACTACATTCTATCCACTGTGCCACTCTTGTTGTATTCTGTTGCAGGAAGGGTTCTATTTTGCACCATCTCTGTTCATTTGCTTGTAGAGGACTTCACATTTGTTGAAATGACCTACATTTAAGTGGCCATCGTGTGCAGATTACATTTAAGGCTCTCTACCATAACCACAGTCTGGAATTTGTACTTAGTTCAAATGTCCACAAAACATCACCACAGAATATACCTTTTCTTATTAAACTAAGTCAAGATGAAGGGCACTTTAGGTGCTGCCTAAGCCACAGGTAGCTCAGCTACTGCTGCCTTCTTGGCGCAAGCATATATTTTCCTGGAACCACAGAGCTACAATGCAAGCTGTGGAAAAGACACAGCTTCTTTATCAGTCTGTTGACAGATGCAGTGACTATGCATGCCTATGCAGATCCAAAGTACTTTTCCCGCTTCAGATAATTCTGCATACTTCTAAAGAAGACTCTAAAAACAGTTTCAGTCTTTTCCAACTTTTCCATACCAGAATATCACTTTCAGAAAGGTTGTCTACCTTGTGGTTAATTTGTTTATGTACTCAAAGCCTGGTGTCTGTAGATAAAAATTTCAGATAGATACAAATGGAAGAAAGCATCTTTCATATAACTAGATCCCATGTAAGATGTTGAAGGTAAAATCAGCATTTGAATTTGGGTTTGAAAATGCATTGGAAAGTGGTACAGCCAACAAAAAACAGCTTTTCCCAGTTTAATAATCTTGCTGTTCTAATATCAACTAATTGCAGTTTCCTTTTTTTTGAAGACGCAGTGCCCTGTAATACTTTAAATGGGAGATTATTAGACTCTATAACCATGTCTCAAATGCCAGAAACGTATCAGAAAAGGGAATCATTGCTTTGTGTGTCCTCTTTCATATCAGATAGATCTTTAATACTTTTATTGACAATTACTGGTGAGGATATGTTTCTGTGCATGCATCAGAATTCAAGTAAGATCCAATTTGGTGCTTTTAAGATGTTTTCAGGAGTGTCTTTTTTGTAGGGTTTTTTTCTATAAGGGTAGGAAATCAACTTTTGCATTAAGAACAAGTCCACTTTCAAAACGTATTAAAGTGGTAGTTAAGTTGATAATAAGTCTATCAGTGTGTTAAGGTCTTTTGAGCTTCTCTCATGCCTTATTCATTATATCAATTGAAGTTGATTCCTGACATCCCTAAAACATCCCATTCATTAAGTTGAAAATTTTACATGAATTGCCACCCAATTTATTTCTTACATATGGAGAAAATACAGAAAGCAGTGTTTTAATTGGTTAAGGATTGCATAAATATATTTTTATTTCTCTTAATTTCTCAGAATTCTTTAGAATTTTGTCGTTGGACTAGTCCCATATGAATACCTTTCTAGGATAGAAATGGTTTCTTCTATATATTATTTATTTGTTTTTATTAGTATTAGCAGATTTCTGTGGTTTAAAAGGGGTTGCCAAAAATGTTCATGCATCTTGCTTTAGCCTGATATTTTCAAGTTAGAATACTTATCTAAATTTTGGGCATTTCCTTCCTTTATATTATTTTTTATTAAACATGCCACAGAAAATACGCAAACAATAACATTTTTTTAAAAAAAATAAAGAAAATACTGAAGTAATGGATAAATAAGTAAACAAAGAATCTAAATGTCTAGGAAGTTATAATTTTCCAGTATATCATTAATCAATTATGAACAAATGAATATATAAAGAAAACTAAAAATCAAAGTTCTAAGCACGGATACATATCAAGAACCATGCTCAACACAGAATAAATCACAAAGGCAAAACTGGAAAGTTATTCTTATTTAAATGTCCCATAAAACTAAAATGTGAACTCTAAACATTGAAAACCCAAACCTTGGTTGAGTCACAAATAAGTTGGCATAAAATTCTGTTTCTGTTTTACTAGTAAGGTAC